TAAGTTATGTGTCCCATCTTCTATGAGGGACAAAATTGTCTTTCTTGTAACTCAAGTTTTTCATGAATAAAAGTCAAGTGGGTCGGCTAGGAGAGTGACTTTTGAACATCCTCTCTTCTAGTCTGGCCGAACACTCTTCTCCTCTCCTTCTTCTTTCTCTTTTCTTTCTTCTTTCTTCTTCTCTACTTTGACCTAGAAACAACTAGGGTTTATTCACATGAGTGAAGTTGAGAGATTGAAAAGAGATGTGGAGGGTGACAAGAAATTCGGGGTAAAAGGAGATAGAAGGAAAGGGGGGAAGTAGTGGTTAGGTGAAGAAGGGATCGAAGGAAGAAGTGAGCATGAAGATACTTAGTTGGAATGTGAGGGGAATAAGAAGTGCGAGAAAAAAAGCGATGATCAAAGAGGTAATAAAGAGGTTTGACCCAGACATTGTACTATTATAGGAGTCCAAGAGAATGAAGTTTGATAATAGATGGGCAAGGAGTGTGTGGAAAGCCAGGGGGATTAATTGGGTGGTTGCTCCCTCGTGGGGTGCTTTAGGTGGGATAGTGACATTGTGGAAGAGGGATGTGGTGGAAGGCTTGGAGGAACTGATTGGAAAATACTCAGTTTCAATGAAGTTTAAGCAGCAAGAGGATGGATATGTGTGGGTGCTCACAAATTTTTATGGACCAAATGACTACAAAGAGAGAAAGGAATTGTGGGAGGAACTGGCTGATGTTAGAGGGTTATGGGATGGGCCTTGGTGTGTGGGTGGGGACTTCAATATGATCAGATTCACGAAGGAAACCAATAATACTTATCAGAGGGTGACAACTAGCATGAGGAGGAAATAAGCTCGAGGCAAAAATCTCGATGTAAATGGTTGCAAGAGGGAGATAGAAATACCAGGTTTTTTCACTCTTTGGCAATTGGAAGGAGAAGGAGAAATTTTATTTCCAAATTGGAAGTGGATGGAGTTGAGTTAACACAACAAGAGGAGATAGCTGGGGCTTTTGTAGAACACTTTAAATCCATTCTAAGAAGGCTTGTAAGTAGAGGGGTGTGGGTAGAAGGATTGGACTGGCCAGATGTACGGGGGATAACAGGAGAAGGATGGAAAGAAGGTTTGATTTGGAAGAGATTAAGGAGGCTGTGCTTTCTATGGATAGAACAAAAGCTCCAAGGTCGGATGGGTTCACAATGGATTTTTATCAAGATTGTTGGGATATCTTGAAAGATGACCTTCTGTTGGTGTTTGAGGAGTTCTATAGGAGAGGAGTTATTAACCCAGGTGTGAATTCAACTTTCATAGCTTTGGTTCCAAAACAGAACGATGCATTCCATCCAAAGGATTTCAAGCCAATCAGTTTGGTAAATAGCTTGTACAAGATTATTGCAAAGGTATTGTCTTTGAGACTGAAGGAAGTATTGCCAGACATCATTGCACCAAATCAAGGAGCTTTTGTGAGTGGAAGACAGATTACTGATCAAATCCTAATTGCTAATGAGAGTGTGGAGAATTTCAGGAAGGAGAGAAAGAAGGGAGTGGTTTGTAAGTTGGATCTGGAAAAGGCTTATGACTTGGTGGACTGGGAATTTTTGAGGAAAGTTATGACCAAGTTTGGTTTTGGGGCTAGATGGTGCAAATGGATTATGGGGTGACCCCCTATGGGACAGTGGTAGATTTCTTTCCAGCCAGTAGGGGTATAAGACATGGAGACCCCCTATCTCCCTTCTTGTTCACACTAGGGGCCTAATTGGATGCTAGAGAGTTGGAAGGGAGGAAACCCCCTCACCCACTCATAGTTTGCTGATGATACGATTCTGTTCTGTGAAGGAGGTAATGTGAGGTTCATCAGGAACATGAAATTGGTGATACAACTCTTTGAACAAATTTCAAATTTGAAGGTGAACTTTGGGAAAAGTTGTGTAGTGGGTGTGAATTTGGAGGAGGGAGAGATTAGGGAGAGTGTAAAAGTGCTAGGGTGTGAAGTCTTAGGTTGGCCATTGAATTATCTAGTGTTGCCATTAGGTGATAATCCCAAGAGAGAGCTTCTGGAACCTGGTGGTGGAAAGATTTGAAAAGAGACTTGTCTCTTGGAAAAAGAATTACCTTTCTCTTGGTGGAAGGACTACATTGATTAAGACCACTCTAGCAAACTTACCCATTTATTTCCTGTTAGTGTTCAAAATCCCAACAAAGGTTTCTAGTAGATTAGAGAAGATGATGAGAGATTTCCTTTGGGAGCTGGGAGAGGAGAAGAGGGATCATAGGGTGAGTTGGGAGGTGGTGACCAGGATTAAAAACTGTGGTGGTTTGGGGATTGGGAACATTAGAAAAAGGAATATGGCCCTTCTGGGGAAGTGGTTGTGGAGGTTCCCATTGGAGCAGGAGAAACTATGGGCTAGAATAGTGGCAAGCATACATGGGCTGGAGCAAAATGGATGGGATGCTGGAATCTGAGCAAGGACTACAAGTGCTTCACCTTGGAAAGCCATTCATGATTTGTTACTAGTATTCTCCCCTCTTATCAGGTAAGATTTGAATTCAGGTAACACCATAAAATTTTGGGAACAAACTTGGGTGGGGAATGCCCCCCTTAAGGACCAGTTTCCTTCTTTGTATGCCCTATCTGATTTTAAAAATGAGCCAGTTTCTTTTTTCATTTTCCTCTTCCAGTTTTGAGTTTGGGTGGAATTTGGGTTTAAGAAGGGCTGTGAAGGACTTGGACCTCGACAGTATTTCAAGCCTCCTTGAACTTCTTGATAATATTTTCTTAGACCCTACTAAGGTGGACTCTAGAATCTGGACCCCCACACCCACTGGCTCATTTTCTTGTGCTTCTTTCTTCAAAGTCTTATGCCAGTCTAGCAGTCCTATAACCTCCCTTTCCCTGTCTATGAGGTTTGGTGCAGACCAATTCCTCCTTGGGTTGGTAGTTTTTGCTGGGAAGCCTATCTGGAAAGATTCAACACTGGTGATCTACTCCAAAAGAAGAGACCTAATACTTGTTTGTCACCTCACTGGTGTGTTCTCTGCAAAGCTGATGAGGAGACTGGTTTTCACCTACTGGTGTTTTTCCAATTCGCAAAGTTAATTTGGAAGTGGGTTGTTCCCTCTTTGGGTGTAATTGGAACCCTCCATCAAACTTGCAAAGTCTTTTCTCCCCTTCTTTTTTCAGGTGGCGTAAGAAAAGGGGAAGGACTATGTGGAGGGAACTGAGGGCTGCAGTATGCTGGTCATTATGGGAAGAATGAAATTCCAGGATCTTCTTAGAAGTAGAGAGAGGTGCTGAAGAACTGAGGGCTTTAATCCATATAAGGGTTGTACAGTGGCTGAAGTCCCTAGAGCTATTCGCAGATTATATAGTGAATGGCATGTTGAGGAAGTGGGGTGAGATTGCAAACTGTACCCAGATCAAAACAGTAATGAGTGTGTCTTGGACCCCCCCACCTGTTGGATTCTTAAAACTAAACTTTGATGGGAGTAGTAGGGGGAACCTTGGACACTCAGGGATTGGGGGTGTTTTTAGGGATGAGAATGGGGTTGCCTTGTTCTCAGGCCCAATTGGTGTAGGTGACTCCCTCAGAGCTGAGATCTATGCAGTGTTGGAAGGAGTCCAGAAAGCTAGGGAGATGAATATCAGAAAACTCATAATTGAAGGGAACTTGGAGGTAGTGGTAGGGTGGCTGAACAAAGACAACAGTGGCTTATGGAATTACAACAATGTGAGGAGGAAATTTAAGTGGCTGGTGCGAGAGATGGAAGTTAAGATTGTTTGGGTGAAAAGATCAGCTAATTCTTTTGCTGATGGATTAGCTAAACAAGGGGTGGAGAGGGAATCAATGTTTTGGGCTCAGATGTAATTTTATTGTTTCTCTTTTTTCTTTTCTTTTCTTGGGGGCTCAAATTGTAATTGGAAGATAAGAAAGTTTGTCTTCCTCTTTGTAATTATTCATTTATTGAATTAATGAATTTGTTATTGATCCAAAAAAAAATGCCTAGTTTATGGTTGCTTTGGTTTGTGGCTTTAGTTGGTCTCTTTGTTTGGGCTTTTGGATTCTTGTTTTTATCGCCTTGAGTTTTGGAGGTTGTTTTTTTCTCTCTCGAGGGCCTTGGTCTCTTCCCCCTTTCTTGTACTCTCTTTTTTTCCTTTTTAATAAATTTTTATTTTTTATTACCAAAAAAAAATGCTGTCATGCTCTTTGTGCCTTGTATAGAAATACTTTAGTTGTTAATACTATTCTTTTTATTTGTTGACCCAATAGTCATTGTTCATGCAGGAAAAGAAGGCATTGAAAGAAGAGAAGCTAAAACAAGAGGAGAAGTACATGTGGGCTATTGTTGATGGCGTTAAAGAAAAGGTATCACTCAAATTTGGTTACATATTATGTTTTATGGATTAAATGTCCCTTTGTTAACTGCTTTTAAAAGAAAACTTAAACTGCATTATTCATTATTACTTGATGCTAGTTGATCTAAAGTGTTAAGATTCATTTTGGATTTGAAAGCATATTTAAGCATATGTAGCTCATAATTAATTAATTTTGTTGGTTCATTGGTGATTTTTTTGATCCATCATTGGTAGGACAATGATGATTTTGATCAGTATTTTGTGTTGTAGGGAGGATTTGGTTGTGATCAAATCCTAATTAGCCAATGAACATGTAGAGGAAATGAAGATATCTAGAAAGGGAGGCCTTGTTTGCAAATTGGACTTCAAAAATGCCTATGACTTGGTGGATTGGACCTTGTTAGAGGTGCTGCAATTGCATGGGTTTGGGAAGAGATAGTGCAATTAGGTCTTTGGTTGTATTTGGCCTTGCCATTTTTTCGTCCTTGTTAATGGAGTGGTAAAATATATTTATCAAATAAAAAATGGAGTGATGAAAGATTTCTTCCCAACTTATAGAGGGTTTAGACAAGGTGATTCTTTGTCACCTTTCCTTTTTACTTTAGTGGTGGGTGTTTTTAGTAGACTTCTCTCTAGAGCTGATAGGGAAGATGAGTTTAGGGGTTGGAGAATGGACAGAAACAATGTTCCAATCAATCACCTCTAATTTGCAGGTGATATCATAATTTTTTGTGGAAGAGATAACAAGAGGGCAAGGAATTTAAAAGAACTAATTAAGAAGTTTGAAAGGATTTCAAATCTGAAAATCGATTTAGACAAGAGTTGCATAGCAAGGATCAATATGGAGGAGAGTGCCTTAAATTTGGTAGCGGGTTGCTTAGAGTGTCCTGTCATCCCTTGGCCTTTCACCTATTTGGGTCTTCCCCTAGGTGCCGACCCTAAGGAAAGTAGATTTTGGAATCCAATTGTAGAAAGATGTGAGAGGAGATTGGTTGCATGGAAAAGGAATTATATCTTGTTGGGCAGTAGGATTACCCTAATAAGATCAATCTTGGCTAACTACCAATTTACTTTCTCTTTGTTTTTTGAATTCCACCAAGGGAAGCACAGAAATTAGAAAAGGTCATAAGGGAAAGGCTAGAAAAGATCACTTAATCAAATTGGAGATTGTGTAGAAGCAAGGAAGAAGGTGGGTTGGGTATTGAGAGTGTGAGTGAAAAGAATATAGCTTTCTTAGGGAAGTGGTTATGGAGATTTCCATTAGAAAGGGAAAGCTTGTGGCATGAGGTGGTGGATAGTATTCATGGAAAGTTGGAGAGTGGTTGGGATGCCGGTGTATCATTGGGCCACTCTGGCAACACCTTGGAAAGCAATCCATAGTATCCTTCCTCGTATTCCATTTTCTTGTACAAAAATGAGGTGGTCTCAAAATTTCTAATCCCTCCTAGATTTCCTTTGTGTCATAATTGGGACTTTAGTATTCAAAGGGGATTGAGGGATGAGGAATCCACATCTATGATACAGTGATAGAGCTTTTGCTTCTTCTTGATAGAGTTTGTTTAGAGCCTTTTAAACAGGGTAGAAGAGTTTGGTGCTCAAGTTCTAAAGGTATTTTTTCTTGTGCCTCTTTTTTTAATGCCTTTTTCAGTCCCCTAATCCATAATCTTTCTTTTTTTTTTTTATAAATGACTAATCCTTAACCTTTCCCCTTTAAGGAAGTTTAGTGTCAGCCTGTTCCCCTTCAAATTAGTGCTTTGTGTTTGAAAGTGTTCTATCTTATATGGGAAAATAAACACCCTGGATCATTTGCAAAAGAAGAGACCTCTTTTGTATATTTCCCTGAATGTTGCAAATCAGATGGTGAGTCTTGTTACTACTTACTAATATCCTGTTCCTTTGTTGCAGATATTTGGGATTGGTTTTTCTCTTTAATTGGGTGCAAGTGGAACTTGCCAACGGAGATTAAGATGTTGTTTGATTCATCTACTTTTGTATGGCCGAAGAGAAGGGGAAGAATAATGTGGAGGTTCACTAGGGCAGCAGTTATTTGAACTTCATGGGAAGAAAGAAATGCTAGAATCTTCCAAGAGGAGAGAAGCAAGCAACAAGTTATGGATTATGTAATGACAAGGGTTATACATTGGATTTTAGCTTTTGATTTATTTCAACAATTCTCCTTTAATGATATTTGGAGGACCAAGGAATTAGTATTCAGTGACTTCTAGTGCAATGCAGAAGGATAAAATATACTTGAATTGTGTACCTCCTATTGAAGGTTTTTCGAAATTAAATTTTGATGGGAGTAGCCAAGGTAACCCAGGGGTCATAAGAGATAAGGAAGGGAAGTAGTACTTTGCTTAGGACCAGTGGTTATTGGGACTCTTTAAGAGCTGAACTGTATGCGGTACTACAAGGTGTTAAGATTGCAAAAGAGATGAGCTTGGATAATTTGGTATTTGAAGGGGACTCTAAGGTGGTAGTGGGCTAGGTTAAAGATTCAGATTCAGTGATATGGTGTTATAGGGGCAAAATGAAGAAGTTCAAATTGGTTAACAAGAAATATGACTCTGGTTATACAATGGGTGGGGAGGGCGGCCAATGCATTGGCTGATTCTTTAGCTAAGCAGGGGGTACTTAGGGATCAGTTGTACTGGGCTCAATTGTAATTTGTGTTGTTCTTTCTTTTAGGCCTTGTTCACGTCTTGGTAAATGACTTACTTTGGTAAATGCACCTACTTTTCCATAGGATAGCCAACTGACACTTCTAAACTGTGGCACTGGCCTTGTTCAAGTGTGGTTGTGTCATATGGAACAAAGCTTTTAGGATTTCTAAAGAAAGGAAGAGGGGGCAACTTGAAAATAGGATTGGAAAGCATTTTGAAAAGACAACCTCTTAATCTTTTCTACACTTTCTGAGATATTAATATGTATTTATAGTTGCATCAAGAAAAGTATATGTTTATATATACATATTTGTTATGTATACATGCATTGGTTTTATTTATATTTTTGTTAAGTAATAATAAAGTTTTATTAGTCAAGAAGCAGAATCAAGGGAAATACACAATCAGCATATCCCAACCAGAGGCACAAGGTGCAGCCTCAAGCAGTGTTTTAAAAGCGCGAGGCGCGAGGCGCAAGGCGAGGCACACACCTTTCTGAAGCAAGGCACAAAAATACAAAAAAAAATTCTAAAAAAATAAAAAATAAACATAATATTAATAAAAATATAAACTTAAATTTTAAAATTAATTTTTTAAAAACCTATTATCTAAAATTAAAATACATAAACATAACATGTAAAGTGTTTTCAAATGAAAACTTAAAAATATAATCAATCATATAAAACATTTTCAAGCATGTAAAACCCACAATCTCTTTTTTTCCTCAATTTCATTACTTCAAATAGCTAATGTGATGTAAAACATATCACATTCCTGATTCTACGAGCTGCCTTTGTGCCACGACCCTTGAGGCAAGCTCAAACAAGTCCATGTTAGGGTCTTAAATTCTTAATTGTCACACAAAAAGTAATGATTATATAATTTTAGTTGCCTTTTAAGAAGATATTTTATTAAGATGAATGAATGAATGAACAACATTAGCAAATAGGGGGTTCTCGGAGCACACTTGGGCTGAGGCATAAGGTGCATCAGGTGCACGCCTAGGTGCACCAGGCGTGCGCCTTTTGAAAGTGCTGCACCTAGGACCTGGGAGAGGTGCCTACCCTAAAATGCGCATCGCCTATGCACCTAGGCGCGCCTCAGGTGTGACTTTTAAATCACTGGTCTCAAGAATATAAAACAGATTACAATTGAGCCCAATACAGATGACCCCTATTCCCCCCTTAGCTAGATAGTCTGCTATCTCATTTGTTGATCTCCTTTCCCATTGAATACTTACATCCATATGGCTGGCTAGCCATTTAAATCTCTTGATCCTGTACTGTATACTGTATCTGGATCCTTCAACCAACCTATTACTAGCTTTAAATCCTCCTTAATGACTAATCTGTCAAAGTTCAAATCTCTTGCAATCTGTACCTCTTGTAATGCTTCTTGGAACTCAGCATTAATGTAGCCTCCTATCCCTGCTGGACCCAAGAATAAGGCAATAAAGTGTCCTTTGAAACAAATAAAAGAAAGGAAACATGATTTATACATGAAACCACTTACCTTACTGTTATTTTGTTTTACTTGCTGATCTTCTCTTCTTTTTTACTTTTCCATTGCTTTTGATCTTTTGTTTTGTAGGACAATTAAAGATCTTTTTGTTACTATTTGTAACTCTTATTGTTGTGGGGGCAGGGGTAATAGTTCCTTTTTTTACGTTGTTTTAGAACTCTTAAAATGTTGGTGTGGGTGAGAGTAATGGTTCGTAACATCGATATTGATGAACATTTCTCCATGTAGGGTTGGAAAAATTTCGGAGATATTTCACTAATTCCTCTAAGATATTTGGAAAGTTTTAAAAATCAAGAAAGTTCTCTAGAAATATTAAATTAGTTAATAAACCTTCAAGAGATCATTAGAAGAAATATAATTGCACGTTTAAGGCTCAAAACATCATAACAAAAAATTGTATAAATCAAATGGGAAAAAATAATGAAGCGATTGTAATAGGTATGTTTCTCTTTGTCTCCCTTTTGGTCTTTAGCCATCTTTTGTTCATGTCAATTGCTTTCCATTTTAACTTCTGTTTTTATTGTTACTATATGTTTTGGTTAGATTGAGAATACTCTCTTTTGTAGTTCTATGCATTTTTCTTTTTCTTTTGAATTATAGTAACTTAGTAAGTCAATCACATCAAAGTAGTAAGCCAATTATCCAATCATTAATTCTCTGCTGTTTCTTTTAGGAAAATATTTTTAGAAAATTATGATGATTTTAATGAAATACTGAAAAGGTTTTAATAATATACTAAAATTTTAAACTTTAAATATAGAGTTTATCTATGATATCTCAAATATCACTGACATATTGGCAAAATATCGGGGATATTGGAAAAAAA